GGTCCCGTACATACTTCTTGAGCATGGAAACATGAAATACATTATGAATCTTTTCCAACTCTGGAGTTAACTGAAGCCGGTATGCTACGACCCCGATTCTTTCAATGATTTTGAATGGGCCTATGTAACGTGGGTTGAGCTTACCCCGACTGAGGAACCTGATGATCCCTTTCCAAGGTGACACCCTCAGAAATACCTCATCGCCGACCTCGAACTCTAACGTCCTTCGTCGTTTATCTGCATAGCTCTTCTGCCGATCTTGGGCAGCCTTGAGTCTATCCTGAATAACCCTCACCTTTTCCTTGGTGATTTCGACTAGCTCGATGCCCTCAAGCTTAGCCTCGCCTACCTCATCCCAACACAAAGGTGTCCGACATTTCCTCCCATACAGTGCCTCGTATGGAGGCATGCCTATACTTGCTTGATAACTGTTGTTATAAGCAAATTCCATCAAGGCCAACTGGTTGTCCCAACTTCCTTGGAACTCCAAGGCACATGCCCTCAACATGTCCTCCAATATCTGAATCACCCGTTCAGATTGCCCATCCGTTTGAGGATGGAATGCCGTGCTAAACCTCAACTTTGTTCCCATGGATTCCTGGAACTTAGGCCAAAACCGTGATGTGAACCGTGGGTCTCTATCCGATACTATCGTAACTGGAACCCCATGCAGTCTCACAATCTCATCTGTGTACAACTTGGCCAGTCGTTCAAGCGTATAAGTAGTGTTGATAGGAAGGAAATGAGCACTTTTGGTTAACCTATCAACCACCACCCACACTGCATCATAGTTCCTAACCGTGCGTGGTAAACCTACCACGAAGTCCATAGTAACATGCTCCCACTTCCATTCTGGGATGGTAAGTGGCTGTAATAACCCCGCTGGGTGCTGGTGCTCTGCCTTAACCTGCTGACAGGTAAGGCAACGACTCACATATTCTGCAATCTCTCTCTTCATCCCTGACCACCAGTAACTTTCCTTCAAGTCCCGGTACATCTTTGTTCCACCTGGGTGCATGGCATACGCAGATGAGTGAGCCTCCTCAAGAATAGATTTTCGGAGCTCCTCATCTGACGGGCACACAGACTCGCTCCTTGAATAGTAGGAGTCCATCTTCTCTCTCACGGAAACCCTCGACGGGTCCCACCAGCATCCGTTCCCGGATTTTCTGAATTTCCTCGTCATTGCCTTGACGCGTCCTGATTTCGTCTAATAAGGTGGGTCTCACCTCAAATCTGGCCAATAGAGCCCCATTCGTGGATACTTCCACGTGTGCCCTCAATGCTCGTAGGCATGTGAGTAAAACCCCTGATGAACTTTTCCTACTAAGAGCATCAGCAACCACATTAGCCTTACCTGGATGATAATCAATAATCAAGTTGTAATCCTTGATTAACTCCATCCATCTTCTTTGTCTCATGTTCAACTCTTTCTGAGTGAACACGTACTTCAAACTCTTGTGATCAGTATAGATGTGACACACCTCACCGTAGAGATAATGCCTCCATATCTTCAAAGCAAACACCACAGCCCCTAGCTCAAGGTCGTGAGTGGGGTAGTTCACTTCATGTTTCCTCAGTTGCCGAGAAGCATAAGCAATTACCTTCCCCGATTGCATCAGTACACACCCAAGCCCCTGGATGCTAGCATCGCTATAGATGTCATACCCCAACCCTTGCACGGGTAGAGCAAGTACTGGTGCTTCAGTCAACCGTTTCTTTAGCTCAAGAAACCCTTTCTCACACCTGTCATCCCACACAAACTTAGCTCCCTTTTTAGTGAGCTTCGTGAGTGGAGATGCTATTACGGAGAACTTCTCCACGAATTTGCGGTAATACCCCGCTAAACCAAGGAAACTCCTTATTTCCTTCACATTCTTGGGCCTCTCCCAATTAGTGACGGCTTCAATCTTTGAGTTATCGACAGAAATGCCTGAGCCTGATACCACATGCCCGAGAAAACCGATCTCCCCAAGCCAAAATTCACATTTAGAGAATTTGGCAAAGAGTTTCTTCTCCCGCAGTGTTTCAAGCACGAGTCTTAGATGTTTCTCGTGTTCTTCTTCGTTCTTGGAGTATATCAAAATATCATCGATGAACACTATGACAAATTGGTCCAAGTATTGATGAAATACTCGGTTCATGAGGTCCATGAATGCCGCGGGGGCATTTGTAAGCCCAAATGACATCACCAGGAACTCATAGTGACCATACCTTGTACGGAATGCACTTTTGGGTATGTCACTCTCCTTGATCTTTAATTGATGGTAGCCCGACCTCAAGTCGATCTTGGAGAACACGGTTGCCCCCCGTAATTGATCAAACAAGTCGTCAATCCTTGGCAAAGGATATTTGTTCTTTATCGTGACCTTGTTCAATTGAAGGTAGTCGATACACATTCTCATTGTGCCATCCTTCTTCTTAACGAAGAGTACAGGTGCTCCCCAGGGTGAATGACTCGGTCTAATGAATCAGTTATCTAGTAGCTCTTCCAATTGAACCTTCAACTCTTGAAGTTCAGCCGGTGCCATCCGATACGGAGGAATTGAGATGGGTTTGGTGCCTGGTTCAACCTCGATCTCGAACTCGATCTCTCGATCTGGTGGGAGTCCCGGAAGTTCTTCAGGGAAAACTTCTGGATACTCACTCACTACCCTCACCTCCGTGAGGCTCTTTCCTTTGCCTTCCTTGCCTATGACATAGGCTAAGTATGCTTGATAACCTTTCTTCATCAAACGCCTCGCCCTTAATGCCGATATGATACAGGGGTTGAATTTTCCTCTATCTCCCTCGAAGCATAGAGTATTTCCTTCGCCGTCTTCCAATTCTAACACCTTGGTGTAGCAATCTACCTTTGCATGGTGTTTCTCAAGCCAGTCCATGCCGAGTATGGCATCGAACTCAAGCATGTCTAACGGTACAAAGTCGCCCATTAGACGGTGCTCCCCTATCTCCACATTACATGAAGGATAGTAGTGCTTCCTCTCTACATCATCCCCCAACGGTGTAGAGACCATCAGAGGTTGCGTCATCGCCGTTAGTGGCATGTCCAAACCCTCGGCAAACGCTTCGCTCATAAATGAACGTTGCGCCCCGGTGTCGATGAGAATTCTCGCTTGTCTACCGTTGATCTTTAGTGTCCCTACATACGTAAGTCATGTAAGACACACTACTCAACGTTCCGACTGATAAGGACTGAATGAAAAGTATTCTAGTTTAGGACTACCTTATACCCGGTCGGGTAACCTTCCATACCCGGTCGGGTAACACTCGAGCTCCTAAGAAGAAACTTCCTGTTAGCTTTGCCCGATCGAGTGTATACCCATACCCGGTCGGGTATTACTCAGGTTTTTAAACAACGATTCCCTGGAATCCCTGCTCGGTCGAGTACACACCTCGAACCCGAACAAAACATCTATACCCGGTCGGGTATATGCCCATACCCGGTCGGGTATCTGTAACACCCCGGCCCCACCGGACCCGAGGTAGTTACTCCGGACCAATAGTACTGTCCTCACAAACCACCACGAGCCTTTACCGCGCACTTTGTCCTCACTCATGCGCGCCCTGAGAAACTTCCCAGGGGGTCACCCATCCCAAGATTACTCCCGTGCGAGCACGCTTAACTTTGGAGTTCTTGGATAATGAGCTCCCTTTAAAAGGAGATGCACCTCTGTTAGTATGAGTAGTACTATTAATCCGTTTATATTAAATCTCAAGTGTTACAATCACCCCCACTTAGGATCGCAACGTCCTCGTTGCGCCCTTGAACCAATCTCAAATCTCAATCAAATCCCAGAATCTTCCCCCACTAAGTGCCCGCCCGATATCTAACGGGTCATCACACTGTCGCAGGGTTGCTCTGATACCACTTGTAACACCCCGGCCCCACCGGACCCGAGGTAGTTACTCCGGACCAATAGTACTGTCCTCACAAACCACCACGAGCCTTTACCGCGCACTTTGTCCTCACTCATGCGCGCCCTGAGAAACTTCCCAGGGGGTCACCCATCCCAAGATTACTCCCGTGCGAGCACGCTTAACTTTGGAGTTCTTGGATAATGAGCTCCCTTTAAAAGGAGATGCACCTCTGTTAGTATGAGTAGTACTATTAATCCGTTTATATTAAATCTCAAGTGTTACAGTATCACTCAAAGTTTTAAACAAAGAGCTTCCTGCCCACGACGTTCGATCGAGTACACGCCTTAAAAACAAAATTTTACTAATACTCGATCGAGTATATAACCATACCCGATCGAGTATGGCTGGAATTGCCAAAATCGGAGGGTCCTGTTAAACTCACTCGAGCGAGTACACACTTCAAGGTCGAGCGAATTTCCCATACCCGGTCGGGTCTACATAGGTACCCGATCGGGTATCACCTGTTTCCCGAAGATTTTAACTTTAAAACAGATGGACAATGCATGTGGAATCAAGGAGTTACCTGCAATAGAGTCCGGGTTAGCCCGAGCATCGGCCTCGGTCATTGCATACACCCGTGCTTGGGTCCTCCCTTGGTTAACGGACGCGGCGTTACTGGCCGTGGGTCCGCCCCTTCCCGTGCCGCCTTGAGATGGTCCCGCACGACCCCTACCAGACGTAGGTGCCTCAACAGCTCCCGATGGCCCACCTCCACTCAACATTGGGCAAGAGAGTTTGAGGTGGCTTGTGCTACCACACTTGTAGCACCGGGGTGGTTCATTGCACTTCCCGGAGTGATTCCTGTTACAGTTTGGACACCTTGGTGGCCTCACGCTCCCCGAGCTATGCCCTTGCCCTCCTGGGCCCTTACTCTTCTTTGCTGGTGGTTCCGGCGCCCTGAATGATCTTCCATTCCCGGCGTGATGTTTCCGAGAATGGTCTTGGGGTCCAGAATTTCCCCATCTTCTTTTCTTCGCCTCTTCGGCGTCTCTCTTCTTCCTTTCATTCCACTTGGCTTCCCCAAGTAGCCCTTGATCCACAATCTCACTAAAAGTCATGTAATGATTGTAGGTGGCCCTATCACGGATATCCAACTGTAGGGTATCCCAGAAGTGATTAGCCATGCGGTTCTCATCCATGGCGTACTCAGGTATGTATCGTGCCAAGTCCCGGAACCTTTGTTCCAGTTGCCTCACCGAGCAATCCTCCTCCTGTACCAGGGTCATGTACTCCTTCCTCTTCTGGTTCTTTTCGAACTCTGAGTAGTACTGATTATAGAATTCTACTTCAAATTTCTCCCAGGTGGTCTCACCGTGGAACTTTCCTTCCACGCCTTCCCACCATACCGCGGCTACTCCCTCCAGTAACCTGGTAGCAACTGTCAGCTTTATATCAAGCCCGATCTGCATATCCCTAGCAGCCTCATTTAGCTTCTTTATCCAATCGGCAGCCACCGATATATCACCCTTGCCGTCAAATGACTTGCACCCCAAGGCCCTAGCCTCCTTGAGGTATTTGGAGATTCTTACACAAAAACCTCCTCCACGCATTCCCTGTGACGCCACAGGTGTAGCCACTGATGCTCCCCGGCTTCCGTGACCTGAAGCCCCCTGAGAGGCACGCCTAGCTTGGCGCCTAAGATCTCTCCTCAACTTCTCCTTTTGATACCACTCAAACAGTTCACCCATTTGGGCGAATTTGGCATCACTCTCATCGTTGTCATCATCGGTATACGTATCACCCCCATCATATGGGGTCTCCTCATGTTCCGTCTCGGGAACATAGGTAGAGTCATAATCCTCGGTGTGAGTTCCATGCACCGAGCTAACATGGCCATCGCTCACGGTTTGAGCCCGACGGCCTCCCCGGCCTCCACGGCCTCCTCGGCCTCTCCTACCGCCTCTCGCGCCCCGAGATGCAACCTGGCTAGCCCCTTCGGACGTCACCGGAGTTTGCCCTCTCGGGTTGTTCCTCGTAGCCATGCCTCTACCCTCCATTTCTGAAAGAAATTTGGAATGAGCCGTTAGACTCGTATCAATGTCAATTGACGGAATAGTACAAAAGACACCACTTGGTCCAACATTATGGCCAACAAACTGTTAAGGGTACCGTCTTAACAATAAGAGGTCAATAACTTGGTTTCCAACGGTTCCTTAGGTACAAAAACTTTTGCTCATGGTTTTATTCAAAACTTTTTGATGATACTATATTGAGAGGTTAATTATATAGTTTAGAAATCGATGGCTCTGATACCATTTAATTGTCACGCCCCGGACCGCGTCCGTGCCACGTAGACAACCGCCGTACAACCCAATAAGAACAACGTAGTTCATCCTTATCAAATCATACAAGGCGTCCGTTGAGTTCTATTGCCAAGCCGATTAGTAAACCCATACAATCAACATCAATATATATTAGTCAAACAAATGCGGAAAATAAGATATGTTTGATACTGAGCCACACGTGGCAAATACGGGCACGCAGGCCCCCGAATGTTTTAATAGAAAACATTGTTAAAAATATCCATGAGCAGTTTATCAGTTTTGAAGATGAATGGAAGCACGAACCACGTCTTCCTCCTTGATCAGTCACCCTAGGCAAAGGTGCAGGTAGTAGGACTCTAGCCTTAACCTGAAAAATGTGAGGGCCCCCGAAGGGGTCAGTACTCCATAGAAGTACTAGTGACAAGCAGGCTGTATGAGGAATAACTAATGTTTCAGACACGAGACCCAAAAATAGGGTGGTACATATACTTATAGGTGTAACCATTGTTACCCCATCCCCAAGATAATACATACCGTATATACTTGTAAAATACTTGACCCGTAGGTCATTTTCTCACAAAAGAGTCTTTTAGAGACAAGGTACTTACCCAACCTTTCCCCTTTCATTCCTGAATGCCTAGCTTAAGAGCTACATTCTACCTTCATAATATCCTACCGAGTTTCAAGAGTGTTAACCCTCCCGGGGATACTCAACCCCAACCGAGTTTTGGGATCATTTACCGTCCCGAGGATACTCAACCTCAACTGAGTTTTAGGATCATTTACCGTCCCGAGGATACTCAACCTCAACCGAGTTTTAGGATTGTTTACCGTCCTGAGGATGCTCAACCTCACCGAGTTTTAGGATTGTTTACCATCCTGAGGATACTCAACCTCACCGAGTTTTAGGATTGTTTACCGTCCCGAGGATACTCAACCTCACCGAGTTTTAGGATTGTTTACCGTCCCGAGGATACTCAACCTCAACCTTATTTCTAACCAAACCCTAACCTGGATATGGCTAACCTTTCGTTCACTCAACTATGGACAATACCTGGTCCTATAGTCATATAGCAATCCTTAGTAACCAACGTGGACGGGTCCCGCCTGATCGGTCCACGTTAACCCACTCAAAAACTACCCGTTTTGAGTATAACTCAATACTCGATCGAGTACCCACCAATACTCGGTCGAGTACAGGAGACAGGAGCCCGTAAGGCTATTTTCCAAGGCATACTCGATCGAGTATCTATCCATACTCGATCGAGTATAGGAGACAGCGGCCCTTGGGGCCAATTTTTCAGCAGACACCCGGTCGGGTATTGTAGTTGACTTGGAGGTCAACGCCCGTTTGACCGCCCAAACGGAGTCCGATTAACGTGAAATTTTACATGCATATTCTACTTGAAGTCCTTGATCCAAAAATACCATTTTTGACCCCTGGATCATTGTACATAATAAGTTATCACATTTTTAATCACCAAACATACAAAACATGCCTTTCAACTTTGTTTTCTATATAATCATGGCATAAGCCCATACTTGATTAACTTTAATCATTCCGTAAAACATATCCTTGATTACTTTAGGTAATCTCATGCCTCAATCAAAAGTTATAAAGCATATAGCCGTCTTCTCACCTTAGTGAAGCTTATGAAGTTCTAGCCTCTCCGATTTGGCCCCGGTGAAACTCCGGCGAACTTCAACAACTCCGGCGACAACTCCGGCGACCCTTTCAACTCCGTGAAAGTTCTTGAAGTACCTTATACAAGTTAACAACAAGGTTTTATCATCATAAAACCCATATCAACACGAATGACCTCTAAAAGGTTATTTTCCGATGAACCGGTCAACTTTGTTCTCTAAATCTGTTTTGGACATGAACCAACCTTCCAACCCCCATTCTACACTTTTACATGTGTAGAACTATCCTAGGAGTATGAAATATGATTAAGGACAAGAAATGGGATTAATGAAGCCATTACCTTGTAAATCACAAGTTTTCCCACCTTAACTCCTCTTTTCTCTTCTCCTCTTTCCTCCTTTCTTCCTCCCCTTGCTTGGTGCGTGAATGGTGGATGAAAATGGAGTTTTTGCAGAGCTTTCTACTCTTTAGATGGAGGATGGGTCGAGCATATGGGTGTAGGGATGATGGAGATAGTCACTTTGGCTTATTCATCAATTAACATGGGTGAGGGTCCCCTTGCCTTTCACTCTTTGTCTCCAAGTCCTCTCAACACCCCTCAGCAGTCCAAGGGTGCGGCTCCCCTTGCTATTTTCAAGACAAAGTCGTGGGGTGGCCCCCACTTAAATGGGTGGTCATCCCTTTGTGTCCCCGAGTGTACACTTGGTCCCGAAAGTTGTATTTTCCGGACTGTTTTAACTACACTTCATTTTATCGGGTAAAATGAAATATCTATCACTCTTCCAATTATTATTGGCTATAAGAATGAATTTAAGTTCCCCAACTTTTAATTTGGTGGTCTCCATAATTTATTATGGCTTTTTATCCGATATTACTCCGGTACTGATAAATGGGCTTTATATGTCCAAATGGTTACTCATATAATTTCTATAGCCCAACAAGGATATCCACCATTACACACATATTATCTTGACCCAAATGAATATAATATGCGGTCCCGACAATATCGGGTGGCCCCCCACTCCCGGTGTGGGCTCCACGTGAATTCTAATACTCACGTAGAAGAAATGATAAAAATTTTACAATCGCGTAGAGATGTGTTTATTCATTTCTCAGGGTTCAATACATAATTTGATAGAGTACAATTACTTGGGGGCGGTGTTACATATGGGCCGGGTCGGGTTTGAAAGACAGGAGTGCAGGACCTATGTAATGCACAATTAATGCTCTGTAGTCTGAAATTGCACAGCATTTCATGTATTTTACATGTTACTGGTAGGTTTGACGGAATGACACTGTATTTCAGGTAGGTGACGTGTTACACCAGCAAAAGTTAATACATTGACTCTGACCTAGCAAAAGCTAATACATTGACTGAATGGACTGAGTTGTGCTTCAAGAGACTGCGTGCTATAAATCAATGGGTTATTTACTTCTACATCACCCAGCCCCACAGAATTGGTAGTATATATATGTCAAGAGTGTTTAGTTTAACAGCACGGCTCATTCCAATGGGCTTAGAAGCTGAAGGCTGAAGCTCATGAGTGCTTGAGTTCTGGCTCATTCCAATGGTAGGTAGACTCCAGAGGTTGTTTTCCATGACACAAGTATTATATGTGCCCCATGATACTTTCTAGAAAATAAAATCAAATTCAGTTCAAGATAAATTAATGATGGGTTAACCAATGGAAGGCCAACGTAGAAGAAATTACCCTTTAGCCTACATATAGCTAGCATGAAATTTTTCAGTCAATTGACCAACCATCCAGCTTTTCAATGGGCGAACTATTGCCGCGCTCTTGCTTTTCAATGTCCAGAATATTGTCTCTTGCTTTCTTTGATTCAGATTCTGGATATTAAATATGTATAAATCTACATATAGGAGCTCCGACTTTGAATCCGCAAAGCAATGGGAAAGAAAGCATACTCCGTATTATGTTTTCTCCAACTTCTGCACATACTGACATACTCTTTCAAGATCAAAGCTAGATTTGGAAGTGTGGCAGCCTATTGATTCACCGAAGGGATTTGAGATGACGTCAGGGTAGGACTAGAGGAGGGTAGCGTGAGGAGACTGGACTGGCTACTGTGCATTTTATTTAAACGAAGACGACCAGTTACTTCGTTGCCGGCCGATTGTTGGCCAGCGCTTTGGGGAAGATGATCGGAGATGAGTAGATGACTGATAATCAGAAGTAGTGGTGGACCCGGTTCGGGCCGCCCGGCCCGGGACCGGACCGGCCCGTCACTGTACGGGCCCGGAACCGGCCCGGTTCTCGGGTCCGGGTCCGGTTCGGGCACCGAACCGGTGGGAGAAGCGGGTCCGGGCTCGGGTTCTGTTTTTAGTGGCCCGGCCCGGCCAGGTCGGGCCCGGGCCCGGGCCTAACGGTCATTTTTTTAAAAAAAATTATTTTAATTTTTAAAAATACATTTTGGCTCAACAGCCACTTCCCAAACGGCTATATAGCCGTTGGGGGGTACCAGGGGGGGTCCGGGGCGTTTGGGGGGGGTGGGGGTTAAAAAAAACCTATAAATACTCCTAATTTTAAACATTTTTTCACACCTCTTCTCCAACTCTCCCTAAATCCTACTCTCTACTCATCTCCAATTCTCCATATTCATCTTCTCAAATTCTCTTATTCTCCTTTATATTTTATTTTACTATTTAATACTTATACAATTATTATATCTACTTATATATTAATTATCTACTTATAAATACATATACTATATTACTTATATTTCTTATCTACTTAATCTCTACTTATATTTCTTAATATATACATACATACTACATCTACTTAATATATACTTTATCTACTTTTATATATACTTTATAATATCTATTTTATATATACTTATTTTCTTATTTTCCAATCTCCAATTCTCCATTATACTCTATTATTTAATTCTTATACAATTATTATATCCACTTAATACATACATTCTACATCTACTTAATATATACTTTATATATTAAAGTATAAAATATAAGTGTATTACTCATCTTATAGTAGTATACTTATATATTATATACTATAAACATTATATTATATATTACTTACTATAACTAGTATTGTACTAGTTAATTAGTTAATTAGCATTCTTGTTACATTTATCATTATAATAGTTAATTAGTTCATTACCATTATTGTTACATTTTTCATTATACTAGTTAATTAGTTTATTAGCATTGTTGTTACATTTGTCATTATACTAGTTAATTAGTTAATTAGCATTGTTGTTACATTTTTCATTATACTAGTTATTTACTTCATTAGTATTCTCATTAATTGTTAAAACAACTCTACTTCAATAAACTAGTTAATTGTCATTATAGTTAAAGTCACATTTTCTTATTTTCAATTTATATTTGTAGGAAGAAATAGTAGTTCAATCATTTAATTAAAGTACTTGACATTTTATTTAAGTAGTTTTTACTAAATTAAAGTACTTCAAAAGTTGGTATAATTTTAATTTTAAAGTCACACATTAATTCTACTTTGCACTAAATTAGTTTGAAGTATTAATTAAAATAGTTTTAATTAGTTGCATTACTTTTGTATCCATTATTATATTGGTTGTCAATTAATATTTGTTACATTTTTAAGATGGAAGGTGGTAGATATTCGGTTGATTTGGGTAACCTCCAACGCAATCGAAGGAACGAGATTGGGAGGAAGAAATCCCGCAAAGGTAAAGAACTTGCCGGTTCTTCATCTCAAAGCCGAAATGATTTTGAAACGGGTTACCAAAGGCGAGATGGAGATGCGATGTCCGAAGAACAACTCCAACAAGAATTGGCCCGACATAATAACCGCTTTCTACAACAACAATAAATGCCGACGACCATTGACGAAGAGGAGCTTGAGGATGAAGATGCGGAGGAATTGGAACCGGAGACGGCCGAGGAGGAGGGTGCCGGCAGCCACGACGCCGACGAGTCTGCCTCATCCCAAACCGCCACCGGTAATAAAAAAAAGTAAGTCTGAACTAATGAAAAATAATTTTGATAAATGGAAGGACCCACAAACCGGCTATTGGCACGCAACTTGCAAGTGGTGCAACAACAATTATAGTTTGGGAACCTCCGGCGGATACGGATCCGCCGCAAGGCATCTTAAGGCAAAGCACCCCGTGGAGTATGCAAAATTAGGCGGCGGAACGGGAAAAAAAAAAAAAAAAAAAAAAAAAAAAAAAAAAAAAAATGGCGTGTAACTGTGAGATTGTGCTAGTGAGTTGAGAAGATTAGAAGGTATTGAACTGCTCTAAGAAGGTTGGAAGATGTACGACTGGCCTGGGGTATTCTTTCAATGTTATTCTTGTTCGATACAATGAATGGGTTGATTAATCTCAGATTTAACCATAGCAGGAGATGTTTGGAACCTAAACGCTGCAAAAATCAGTGTTTCCCATTGACAAAAAACTGCATTTGGAGTTTGCAACTAGAGACAGCCATGGGAGGGGGGAATAGAGGTCTCGGTACTTGTTGCAGTACAACTAAGCTAAGCTGTGAAGAAGCAGCCAAGAAAGACATAATCTGACTGGTCAAAAACACCATGAGATTGAGATGGCTAGTTGGTGAAAAAAGAAAAAACTCATGAGTGTGGTAATTGCAAAGGGGTTAATATGCCAAGGATCCAATAAAGGACATGATTCAAAATTTTCCATCTGAACGCATTTGGACAAAAAAGGCTTAGGTGACCCTATATAAAGCGGGTGGTTTTACTAGATTTTGCTGTCATGGGGACTACGCCAAAGTAAAACTTAAATCAAATCTTTCTAGCTGGAAGACCACTTCAAACTGCTCATGTCCCCTCCCTATATATTATTGTGTTGTTATTTTATCAATGTCTTGCTTAGACTTACTTTGTGTGTGTGGATTCCATTCCAAAATATATAATCCTTGTAAAACGTGTAAAAAAAAAAAAAAAAAAAAAAAAAAAAAAAAAAAAGGCGGCGGAACGGGGAAGCAAACTCAAATATCGAGGTTTGCGAATTCTCAACCTTTTGGTAATTTCTCCTACAATGATGCACAAAATTTGACTGGTATGGCTAACTTAATTTGTGAAGAAAATTTGCCTTATTTGTTTTCTGAAAGTCTTGCTTTAAGAGATTATGCACAAGGTAGTTTAAATCCTCAATTTAGAAATTATAGTCGCAAAACTGTTAAGAAAGAAATAATAAGGCTTTATAATGCGGAAAAGGCAAGGTTACAAAAAATTTTTGCAAACTTTGATGGGCGTGTTACTATTTGTTCTGACATATGGGAGGATGATTTTCATCATTTATATTATTTGGGTCTGACTGCACATTATATTGATGAGGATTGGAATATGCATAAACGTGTTCTTGCTTTTCGTGAATTTAATGATCGTCACACCGCTGAACATATTTATATTTTGATTGAGCGTATTTTAATTGAGTATAATTTGATTGATAAGGTGTTTGCTATTGGTTTCGATAATGCTACTAATAATACTGGTGCTATACCTAGATTGCGTGAGTTGTGTGGTGCCAATACTTTGATGGGTAGATTTGTTCATCAACGGTGTGCATGCCATGTTATAAATTTATGTGTGCAAGACGGTTTAAAAGCGTTAGGAGATTCCATGGAGGTAATCAAGGGGGGGATTAGACGTATTTGGGGTAATGGTCAACTTAGATTAAAATGGCAAACTTATTTGACTGAAAGAGGTGTGAGATATGTTGCTTTTCCTAAAGATTTGAGTATTCGTTGGAATAGTACTTATAAATTACTTAAAGTTGTTCTTAGATATAAAGAACATTTTCCTGCTTTTTTAAAAGAACATGATAACTATATTATAAACGCGGCTGAGATCGACACTTGCGAAAAAATTTGTAATGTTTTGATATTTTTTTTAATGCTACTGAAACTTTTAGTCATGTTTATAAACCTACCGCAAACCAATTTATTCCACAAGCTGTTAATCTCGCCGATGCTTTTAAAGAATTTCAAAATGCCGTTTTCGTTCATTATTTTTGTGATTCTATGAAGGAAAAGTTTTTAAAATATTATGCGCATATTCCCCATATTTATGGTATTGCATTTATTCTCGATCCTCGTTATAAACTTGCTAATTTGGAAAATTGTTTCAACTTCTATTATCTTGCGTTTTTTGGTGAATTTCCAATGTATGACGATAACCTCATAGATCCGAAAACGGAATACAACGAGGTTAGTACTTTATTTTATGCCTTATTTAATGAGTTTCGTGCACAATATAGCAACGCTCCCCCTCCCCCGTCACGAACATCTTCATCTAAAGGAAAATCGATTTTTAAATCTGCATTTGGCAATCTTATGAAAAAAACAAAAACAACTCACGTCACTGAACAAAGTGCATTGAATGAGATTACTTTGTATTTAACATATGAAGTTGATTTTGAAGAAAATGATGACTTTGACGTTCTAGACTGGTGGAAGTCAAAAGAAAGAACGTTCCCGATTTTAGCACGGATGGCTAAGCAAGTACTATCAATGCCGATTTCAACAGTTGTTGTGGAACAAGAATTTAGTTGGGCCGACAACGTCCTAACGGCATCTAGATCGAGATTGAGCGCGGAGTCTCTTGAGACGCTTATATGCTACCACGATTGGTTGAAGGCCGCACGTAGAACTCAAGAAATGAGCATCACCCCCTCCCAAGATTTTATGGATGACTCAACAACCGATGGTGGCTCTACCTATGCCGGAGATTCCGATTGATTAGTATTTTAGAATTTATTATAAAATGTATTTTATAGCACTTGTCAAATTTATTTATACTTGTACTTCATATTTCAAAATTGTAAACTTGTACTTCATATTTCAAAATTGTAAATTTGTAGTTGTACTTCAAATTAATTTGTAAACTTGTACTTCATATTTCAAATAAATATGTGTTCACTTTTTCATATGTAGCACTTCTCCAATTAATTAATTGGTTACAAACTAACGACTTAAAATTATTTTTCTAAAATATAAAGCCGGTTTTTAAATTAAAAATACATTTACAATATGTAATTTGTTTAAATACTTATACATCTATTTTGTAACATTTGTAAATTATAAATCAAACCACTTTTCTAAGTACAAATAGTTTTAGTTTTACTTAATTCATTAAATTAATTAATTTATTTTACAATATGTATAACTTAAAAAACAAAAAATTGAAATCAAACCTCCCAAACGGCTATATAGCCGTTGGGGCTATGGGTGGGGGGCAGGGGGGTCCCGGTGGTGGTGGTGTGGGGAGTGGTTCAAAAACATCTATAAATACATCTATTTTCTAACATTTTTGTACACCTCTTCTCCAATTCTTCTCCAACTCTTCTCCCTCTTCATCTTCTCTTATTATCCTACAATCCTACTTATACATATACCATTTTAAATATGGAAAGTACATCTTCCCTTATGCAAAACAATTTTGACAAGTGGAAGGACCCGAAGACCGGACTGTGGTGGGCAACTTGTAGGTGGTGCAAGAAAAAATGTTGCTTGGGGCGTTCATACAGATACGGGATGCCAATAAAACATATGAAGTCCTGTGACAAAGGGAAAACAACAACCAACGGTGGCGGAAATCCCAATTGATATTCATTAGAAAATGTATTTCGTATTGTTATTTTTTTCTCAATTCTCAAATGTAGTTCTTATTTCAAATAAATGCACTTGAACTTTGTTTTTAATAGGAATTTGTATATTATAAAACCTAAAAAAAAATACTTGCCCGGCCCGGCCCGGCGGGTGGCCCGGCCCGAACCGGAACCGGCCATTGCCCGGGCCGGTCCCGAGCCTACCATTACAAGACCCGAGGCCCGACCGGGCCTTGACCCGGCCCGGGCCCGACCCGGCCCGAATCCATCACTAATCAGAAGTGATGGACTGAGGGGTACTGCGGACTGAACCCGCCAGTCTGGAGATGCTTTCTGCGGATGTTGCGAGCCCGGGGGCAAAAAGATCTTCTTTATGCGGGTCAAATTGAAAAAATAAATAGTTTGCCCATGTTTCTTTTTTCTTTTGTATGAATTTGTCAATTTGTCAATTGCCAAGACCAATTTAATTTGTAAAAACATGTACGGAGTATTTATGCATTATATTGTATTGTAGATAGGTTTATCATGAGAAAGTGGTGCTAAGTAGGAGTAAAACATTTAGAAATAATTATAAATATATGATTAAAATAAAACTAATGAAAAAAATATAACTTAGTATTTATCATTAATTTTAGTGATTATGAATTTTTAAGTATTAACGAATTGTAACTGTAATTATGATATTTCATTAGAAAAAATCAATGACTCATGCATCAATTTAGTGCCTACTTAATTAATTAAAAAGCTTTAATGGTCAAAATTGCTTCTTATCTCCTACAGACAATTTTCAATCTTGAAACAATAAAACTATGTTTTCTTCCATTTTGATCCAACACAAACATGGCTTAATCAAAATTAGCATGGTATAAATATCTATTCGCTGCGTGATTGCAAAAAAATAATCATCTTTGCATTTTGACTTTGATCTTTATTTGTTTGTGTTTCTCTTTTTACACAATATACTACTTTTATTGTATTGGATTTATATATAGTTAAAGAATTTATGTCCCGTGCATCGCACGGGTGTGAATCTAGTGATCCTAAAACTCGGTTGAGGCTGAGTATCTTCGGGACGGTAAATGATCCCAAAACTCGGTTGAGGTTGAGTATCCTCGGGACGGTAAATGATCCTAAAACTCGGAAGGACATTATGAATGTAGAACGTAGCTTGTGAGCTAGGCATTCGGGAATGGATGGGAAAGGTCGGGTAAGTACCTTATCTCTCAAAGACTCTTTAAATGAAAATGACCCACGGGTCAAGTATTTTACAACTATATACGGTATGTATCATTTTGTGGATGAGGTAACGATGGTTACGCCTATACATTTATGTATCACCCTTTTTTTGGGTCTTGCGTCTGAAACATTAGTTATTCCTCATATAGCCTACTTGTCACTAGTACTTTCTATGGAGTACTGACCCCTTCGGGGGCCTCACATTTTTCAGGTTAAGGCTTGAGACCTATTCCTGCACCTTTGCCTAGGGTGATCATCAAATAAGGAAGACGGGGTTCGTGCTTCCCTTCTTATTTTAAATAATGTAATTGCTCGTGGATATTTAATAACGTTTTTGGTAAACTATCCAAGGGCCTGCGTGCTCATGTTTGCCACATGTGGCTAATTATCAAACATACTTTATTTCCGCATTTGTTTGATTAATATATTGATGTTGATTGTATGGGTTTACTAATCGGTTTGGCAATAGAATCTATCGGACGCCTTGTATGATTCAATAAGAATGAACTACGTTGTTCTTATTGGGTTGTACGGCGGTTGTCTACGTGGCACGGATGCGGTCCGGGGCGTGACAACCAGGGATGGATTTAGGGGGGGGGGCGCGGGGGGGGCGACTGACGTGCACTTTGTCGTGGTGTGCACTCAAAATAATAATCAATACGACACTAATACGTAGTATAGTGTAGTAAGGTTCGTATCCACAGGGAAAGGAATACTTTTCTCTTTTTAATTAACTAGTAACAAAAAGGGGGGTTTTAGATTTGATTTGATTAAATTAACACTAAGATGAATGACTTAAATGAGTTTAATTAATGAGAAGAAGACCTGGTTTTGCTTTTATCCACTTAATGAAATGTTCGTCGATCCCGGTTATATCTTTAACTATCTCCCTCTCGAATACTCAATCGAGGAGTATATCCAATTCATCGAGGGTAGTTATTAATAACGAGAAGCGTTCATTAATAAAACTTACTACCGAGTCAATATAGAACAAGCGCCGTATATTAACTTGATAGTAGCAATAAAATCAAGATGAAAACGATTGAGATTGATAACCTCAACTCAAGCGGTTTATTGGTTCAATCAATATAATTAATTCCCCTTGGCTTATTAACCATGAGAAGCATGCATTAATAACCCAAGTTTACTACCGTGAAAGAACCGAATTAATAACAAGCGTATTAATCGATTGATTCTAGTAATAATTAATATATAGAACAAGACTAGTTGATACTTTAAGTAATGCTCAATATATTAATATGGAATATGAATAGGAAGTAATTAATATTCAAGGAAGAAGATTAAAGAAAATAACTCACAACTTACAAATCATTAAGCTTCAAAGTAGCAAAACCAAGATGGAAAAGTTTAGCTCCTCATTTGGAGACTAAACATGATGAAAAATATAAAGAAAGAACTTGTCTAAACTGAGCTAAGAAGTATATGTGAATTGGTGCCTCTATTGTGAAGGAAAGGAGGTGTATTTATAGGCTTTTTGAGGTGTAGGTCGGGTACTCGATCGAGTATATACATATACTCGATCGAGTATGTGTAGAAATCAGAATTCGACCCATACTCGATCGGTTTTAGAGTAAATTTTATAACTATACCCGATCGAGTATGTCGGTGTACTCGATCGGGTATAGACACTCGATCGTGGGTAAATCTTCCTCTGCATGTTCCTGTGTTTTCGGATCCGATCCGATTTGAAATGTCAACCAGATACCCGATCGAGTATATATATATACTCGACCGAGTATAGACCAAAATCAGGATTTTTCCTTCTTTTTGTCTTGTACTCTTGCACCTTCCTTCACCATTGATCATTTGATTGATCTTGGACCTGTTTAAGCTCAGAATAAACCTAATCTAAACAAATTACAAGAATTTAACAAACTAAACTATTACACCGAAAGTGTGTAATTTCCGAAATAGTAAACAATTAAAACTAACTAAAAACGTAAATAAACATACGGAAATTACAAACGTATCAACTCCCCCACACTTAATTCTTTACTCGTCCTCGAGTAAAGTCAAATGTTCAACCAGTTTAAGATCATTCCATGAGTTCAAGACAGAAATGAACTAAGATCACCAAGAAATAAGAAAATGATTTTACAAACAACTTTCTTTCTTGGGTTTTATGATCTTCTATGCTCCATCTTCTTGCCTCTTCTTCTTTGTCTTCTCTTCTTTTCTCCTCAAAAGATCAAATGAGTTCCTGCACACAACAAATATTTCTCTCATATCTCTCATTTTGCCTAGGAGCCTTTTCAGGTTTTCATCCTAGCATCTCTTTTTGTTTTTCCATCCTCACTAACTCACTCATTTCATCTTTTATAAGCCATTTTTTTGCTTAGATTGCCCATTTTTGGGTTTTCAACCTAACTAGCATTTCAATTCTTTTATCCATTTTTCTTTTCTTGTTTTTTTTTTTTTTTTTTTTTTTTTTTTTTTGTTTTTGTTTTTGTTTACAAAGGGTAAAAGAAATTCATGCATAGTAAAAGGTAGAAAATGAAATTACATACCATGAGTAATCTCCTCCCCCACACTTAGTTGAAGCACTGTCCCTAGTGCCCGCCTTCTCCGCCGTAGAAGCCGCCTCCAAAGCCGCTTCCAAAGCCTCCTCCAAAGCTCCCATCGCCCATGTGGGTGTCGCCGCCATCATCCCCTCCATCAAAACCTCCACCCCCGGAGCTAGATCCTCCAAAATTACCCCATTGAGTGGGGTCATACCAAGAGGGGGGTGGTGGTGGTTGAGCCATGGTGTGGAATTGGCCTTGATGAGCCATGTAAGAGTACATAGGTCCATAGAACCTACGTTGATCCTCTTCATACCGTCGGTTGTCTTCGGCCCTTTGCTCTTCTATTCTTTGAAATCCCGCCCTTTGT